TAGGTAAAGGAACTTACTACCGTGCAGCGGAATCTCGCTTCACAAACTTCCCAGAACCAAACTTTCCGCTCCTCGTTGTGTCAGCATTGTGTGTAATGGTTGATATCAAAGGCAAAAGTAGACATTTGCATGTACGTTGTCGGTGTGGTTATATAACAAGATAGATATATCCTTACTTTGACATTTACTCATTTGGTATTAGACCAATGAGTCAGTATGACAAAACCATTGGTCATCTGCTTATCGATTCACTTGATAGTAAAACGTTACTTCATTTTATCTTTGCTAGATTTGTAACCATCCATTTACCGTGACGAGAGCTATGAATATCAGTGAAGGTACGTATCGATAGTATTTGAGTACCACAAGTATTTTCCACTACAGTATATAATGTTACCGTTACCCCATTAAATAGAACGGAATACGTGATACCAGCTAGTACATTTAGTTTATTTCGAACCCGATTCCACACAGCTATATGTTTGATTACTAAGTAAACACCCCTGGACATTGTAAACAACTATGAAAAAAATCAAAGGCCCGCCTGTTCAAAATAACCATATTATTACAAAAACAATCAAACTACGAAAACCTTTGGCCAAAACAAGATTATTTAAGTTGATAATCAGCGATGTATAGGATATTTGGTCCCGGGCGTTCAATGGTACCCAATACCACTGATTAAGTCCTTGGGGTGTATCTTCATACTGTGAGCATCATGAATACCTTGGCTTTCGTTCAAATTGATGTTTATTGTGTTCTTATTGATTCTGCCACATTGACAGGCATATTTCTTGAGGATATCTCAACAAGGTCCGTTACCATCATATTAATACCGTCACAGATCAATGTTTACAGGGTAACCAAAGATCAGTTAGAAATCGCCATCCAGGTGGTCATGTTATCTTGTCCAGGAAATTGTATTCTGATGATAGGAAATTTAAATAATGATACTGGGGTTGCGAACATATCAAACGCAACAGGTTTGATATTTTACCTAGGTTTAACTTTTTTTTAAATTTAATTTTTCATATAAATATCTCTTAGAAATATCATCAATACACATTTGAAACATTCTAGATTTTGATGAAAAGCACGACCGTCTCTAAAGAGTGGTATCAATTCTTTATATTAAGATCTTTGCCCAAACAAATAGTTTTCAATGATTCTTAGATTGTCTCTTTAAATTCTATTCAATATGATCCCTTCCCTACATGAAAAGATAGTGAGCTGGCGCAGTGGTTAGGGACTCGCCTTCCGAAAAAAGCCGTCAGGGCGTCAAATCCCAGAACGGAAGTGAAAAGGTACGGGGTCACCGGCCGTCCTCGAGCGATTACTAAACATAAGTTGAAATAATTTATTTCGCATTTATCAAAAAAATGATATACAATGTCTACATAATATTTATTCTAAATATAACTAACGTCAATTGGCATATGACCCCTCCTCCCCCGCGCTCACACAACTTCCATCCCCTTGTTAATATTAACGTGTTTCTACTAGAAAAAGTTATTGAGTGACTTCTCCTATCGCCCCCGCCTTACGTCACATGACCGCCACGTGTTGGCTCGTCTTATGTAAATAAATGTGGTTCCGGTTAGTGTCAACAAAGGCCAGAATACCTGTTTTACACTGTTTCGTAATATTGTACAAACCCATCAATTAGTAATATTGTTAATAATATCCGACAAATGCACCCCTTGACATTTCACGATAAATATGCTAAGCATTAATGTTATTAAGGATAAGGTTAAACGATTATTCTAGATATCCTATAATTATTTGAAAGGTAAGGCTTTTCTACTCAGTTGACGACATTCGCCATTTCAATTACCTTCGCGAATGAAGACGTGTTTTACAAATAAGAAACTACCAAGCAGACGAACCAGTTCAAACACCGGTAACTTTATGTCGTCCAGCAAGGAAAAATGTGTCTCCGTCATAAGAGAGATTTGTCCACTTTTAAGACTTCTGGGGTACTGTTTATTCCTTTTGTATCACTTCCATGATTTATCTGGAGGAAACATTTTGGGGGGATAATTTTCTAGTTTAGAGTTCGTGTATTACAAAGATGGTATTTCAATTTCAAGTTTTCTATTGGTCAACGAGGCATTTTAAGCAGAGAGTACTTAGGTCTCTTTACGGGAATCATTGCATATTTCTAGCGATGTTAGAATAAAGATTAAACCCGAGGCTTCCGCGGGAACAGTCCAATAAAAACACGCTGTACATTCTAGAGTGTCCGGGTTTTTTCACCTTTCAGAAAAATTGTAAAAATGTGTACAATTGTACAAATGTTGCTCAAAGTATATATATATATATATATATATATATCAGTATTATCATTTTTTCTTTATGTAATTTTTGTTTGTGGGGGTGATGGAGGGGGGGGGGGGGGCACTTTTCAAGTTTTGCGCCTTTGTAACATCCGCTGGATGAATCATACTGACATAACATGGACACGACAGGATAAAACCGATCCATGTGCAACACTTTCCATGTTGAACAACAAGAACGAAACTACTTATAAACTTTGGTATATCACGGTTTGTGAACAAAACCCATGGCTTTCACCCCGTTCGTTACCATTCACCCCGTCCGTGATTATTCACCCTTCCAGTGTACATATTACTCGACCGAACGTATATACTTGGATACCAATCGATTGGGTGAGTACCCTCCTCCCTGGGACCATCCGTCCGTACACTTAGTCACACATGCCTATGTACACATTGAGGGCTTACGTCCTCCCTGTGAGGACTGTTGCTCGTTTGTGTATAGACGTGGTATTCTGTTTCTCTCGACAATTAACAATGCTATGATCTTAACAGGAATGACAAAAACGAATACATGTAAACATGTCGGTATAATTAGCACTGGCTGTGTGTGACATTCCGATAGTTCACACGAGTGACTTAACACGTGTTTGTAGACAACCTATCTAGGTTTGTATGCCACTTGTTGCATAGAAACATCTTCCTGATCAACAATAACGATTGTCTACCCTCCAATATCTGATATTCCATGACCGTCTGCTTACAACATCCTACCCTATCAATTTATCTTGATTTATTAACTTTAACAAAACAGGCAATAAGCAAAAATGAAATGGAAAATATGCATTGTATTGTATATATAAAAGAAAGAAACTGAAAGAGTATCTTTTAAAAAACTTTTTTCATTCCCATCGGTTTTAATCGATTACTTCCATTTGAATTATCTCCCTTTAATTCGTAAAGGTAATCCCTCAGTATTGTAAAGTGTTTTAATACAGCGTTATTTTTCCTCGATTTTGTTCACAAAGAAATGCTAGTTTGATTCAAACTTGATAAGTATTCGATATTGAAATACAGGGAAAAACAATACATTTTTTTCTTCAGTGAGCTGATCTCTCAACACGATGTTAATATTTTCAATCCAACGGTTCGAGTCTTATCTACAACGCACATGTGCAACTGTTCCAACCCAACCGATCGGGCATGATACGTGATCCTAAGGGGCGATGACGCCAACAAATTATTCAAATCCATGCCATCTTGTACCTGATACGGAAAAGCCATAATTAAAAAGAAAATTTAAATTACAGCTGATAAAAAAATCACCTACGCCTCGTTTTCATCAACTTGAAGGCCAACTCTTGGCACTTCGTTGTATGATGAAAATAAATATTTATGAATGCATTGCGAATAAAATATTCCATGAACAGGGTTGCTGACTAGTCTGTTGGTTATGGTCTCCCTTACATGTGTCTGTATGTACAGATGATTTGTTATCGGGCGTGTAGGGAAAGATTCCGGGATATCAACCAGACAATGCATGCCTCCCACTGCAAATAACCATCAGAACAAAGCATTTTAAGTCATGCATGTATTTCCGCTGTGTTGCAGTGGTTGAGGGCGATTCCACGTGATTTGTTTAACAATGGGTTCACATGTATGTTTCGATATTTTGGAAAAGTCTTGATTTTTATTTGTTCTTCCTTTGGAATAAATATCCAGGTGGTGTATTCAAATCTTTGAGTGTTCAAAAATTAATTATCATTCTATGTGTTTTTTTACATTTACTGTTTTAGTTTAAATAACATTAAATTCAAGAACACAAGAAAACAATAAAAATAAAAGCGATTTAGCGCATGAGAATACACGGTTTTCATATTTAAACTGTATTTGCAACATTTCAAAAATGTTTTGTTAGCAATATGATATTAATAAAGAAATGTTTAAACAGAAACAGCTAAACATCGATAAGAAAACAATAAAAATAATGGAATTATGATAATAGTTCTTACCAGAATTCCATTCGGAACTTCCTTGGTTTTTTATCCCGGCAAACACATAAAGGGAAAATCCAGGAGTATAAAACTGCACTTTAGGTAAAGTTCCATACGTAGGGGTGAGGTAAACGGTTATAAAAAACACTCCAGGATCCTGAGGAACAGGATTCCACAAACACAAACATGGTATGGAATTAGACAAATGCACATTAGCAGATACAGGCCAAGCACACCTCGCGTGTAAAGACTTCACCCAAGAGCGCAATGACTTTGTCATCCCTGAGCAAGACCGTCAGTTCATCCAAATCAACTACAATAATGTTGATTGTAAGCGAGGCCTGGGGTTAAGGTTTCAATAAAATTACATGCAATTAACAGCAGACAATGTATCTGTTTTCTATAATTATACCAGTTAACTGTCGATATGACTGGCACGTGTGACTTACCAATTACAATAGCACATGATTTATTTTGAAATTATTCTCGAGACTCATTATATATCTAGATTACAACAATAGCCTGAAAATTGAAATTTGATTAAACTTGTCCCGTGTTTCTATAGTATCGTAATGATATAGATTTTTACAGAATAATATTATACTTTATATATGAGCGTGGGTTCGTCCTGGTAAATCACGGTAATAGTTGTACTAAGCAGTACTGTAATTATTTCCATAGAAATCAGACACATTGGTTATTGTTACACAGTAGTCTAAGAATGTGTTACCTTTGTGTAAAGTTTCAGAATCAGAAATGAGTAAATCCAAATAAATCTCCATTTGTGAATCAGCGTATGGGTATGGAACCTTGTACCACAAGCACACACCAGTTGAGTAAAAATGATGTTCGTTTATCTCTGTACTGCATAGCGGTGGTACGCTTGTGTCTGACAGAGACTTACGAACGTGTAAGGTAGGGCAGATTGCATCACAGTAAGCGTCCAAATACACTTACATTAGTCAATTCTCAATAGTCCACATCGAACGCACCTTTTCGTGTTGATGACTGGAATAATCCAATGGAACGCAACTTATGGTCATGATGAGTGGTCCATATCGAACGCACCCCTTATTCATTAGTGTTCATCTTAGAACACAGTATTTCCTTTGATAACGAAACTTTTCTTACGAAATACATAATTTACGTTACTCATGGTTCGTCTCGAAACACGCTTTCTTGTACTGGAGACGTTTACTCATGAGTGGGCATATCGAACGCACACATTCTCAAATGAGATAAACCGGGAATATCGCTACCCCTGCACGTACTAGACATAGGATTACATCACAGTGGCTAGCGTGCAGTCCTGTACTCCATTAACAGTAATGTGTGTATGTACTGAATATTCTGTGTCAAAACACTACTGCCGAAGCTGATCTAAGCCAGTACCCTACACGTAGCCAGGATTACGTCACAGTGGTTGTGTTTACAATTCTACTCCACAACACAGTGGTAGTACTCCAGGTCTATGCAACGTTACATCCTTAGTCTGTGATGCACAGCGTTACAAACATGAAACTCAACGCTTGCTATTTAACTTACTTCTGTTTTTCTCGTTCACGATGAAGTATTAAACCTCTGTTACGTGTTCTTCAAATTTCATAAAACGTACAGGGCAATTCTGTTCAAATCCTTGTTCAGTTCTTCTGCAACATATGCCAGAAAGATGTTTTGTGTTTCGGCTGCTGACCCCGAATCAGTGTTAGCATTGTGTCAACTCTTCTGTTTGCCTGATCATCTCTCCGTCTCTCTCACGATGTGTACAGAACCAACACGTGTGTTTTATCATTAAACAATCGATTGGGATGGACTATAAACAAAATGTTATGTAGTACACATGTTAACTTCTGTAAAAATGTTACAGTAATACATGTTATAGAATATAGCTCTCCTAGCTGGGAGACTGAAATTCTTTTCAAACAATTGGCACTCCTAGTTTGGTAAGTGAGAATTTTCATGTCACGAAACTCTGCTGTATAAGAGACAAACCGGGTCTCGTACAATAGAGAAAACAATGACGTTATGAAAGACAGAAGCTGATGAAAATTATGTTGAAGTATTGCAGTCGTCATAGTAATCTCATTAAGATATAGTCTCTATTTGTGTGATATAGTCTATATATTTGTGTGATATAGTCTGTATATTTGTGTGATATAGTCTATATATTTGTGTGATATAGTCTATTTGTGTGATATAGTCTAAATATTTGTGTGATATAGTCTGTATATTTGTGTGATATAGTCTAAATATTTGTGTGATATAGTCTAAATATTTGTGTGATATAGTCTGTATATCTGTGTGATATAGTCTATATATTTGTGTGATATAGTCTATTTGTGTGATATAGTCTATATATTTGTGTGATATAGTTATATATTTGTGTGATATAGTCTATATATTTGTGTGATATAGTCTATATATTTGTGTGATATAATCTCTTTGTGTGATATAGTCTGTATATTTGTGTGATATAGTCTATACATTTGTGTGATATAGTCTGTATATTTGTGTGATATAGTCTATATATTTGTGTGATATAGTCTGTATATCTGTGTGATATAGTCTATATATTTGTGTGATATAGTCTATTTGTGTGATATAGTCTATATATTTGTGTGATATAGTTATATATTTGTGTGATATAGTCTATATATTTGTGTGATATAGTCTCTTTGTGTGATATAGTCTGTATATTTGTGTGATATAGTCTGTATATTTGTGTGATATAGTTATATATTTGTGTGATATAGTCTATATATTTGTGTGATATAGTCTCTTTGTGTGATATAGTCTGTATATTTGTGTGATATAGTCTGTATATTTGTGTGATATAGTCTATTTGTTTGATATAGTCTATACATTTGTGTGATATAGTCTCTTTGTGTGATATAGTCTGTATATTTGTGTGATATAGTCTATATATTTGTGTGATATAGTCTGTATATTTGTGTGATATAGTCTATTTGTGTGATATAGTCTCTATATTTGTGTGATATAGTCTATTTGTGTGATATAGTCTATATATTTGTGTGATAAAGTCTATATATTTGTGTGATATAGTCTATTTGTGTGATATAGTCCATTTGTGTGATATAGTCTGTATATTTGTGTGATATAGTCTATTTGTGTGATACAGTCTATATATTTGTGTGATATAGTCTGTATATTTGTGTGATATAGTCCATAAGTGTGATATAGTCTATATATTTGTGTGATATAGTCTATTTGTGTGATATAGTCTATATATTTGTGTGATATAGTCTATTTCTGTGATATAGTCTAAATATTTGTGTGATATAGTCTATTTGTGTGATATAGTCTATTTGTGTGATATAGACTATATATTTGTGTGATATAGTCTGTATATTTATGTGATATAGTCTATATATTTGTGTGATATAGTCTATTTGTGTGATATAGTCTATATATTTGTGTGATATAGTTATATGTTTGTGTGATATAGTCTATATATTTGTGTGATATAGTCTATATATTTGTGTGATATAGTCTCTTTGTGTGATATAGTCTGTATATTTGTGTGATATAGTCTATATATTTGTGTGATATAGTCTATTTGTGTGATATAGTCTAAATATTTGTGTGATATAGTCTGTATATTTGTGTGATATAGTCTATATATTTGTGTGATATAGTCTATATATTTGTGTGATATAGTCTATTTTTGTGATATAGTCTATATATTTGTGTGATATAGTCTATATATTTGTGTGATATAGTCTATTTGTGTGATATAGTCTATATATTTGTGTGATATAGTCTATTTGTGTGATATAGTCTATATATTTGTGTGATATAGTCTGTATATTTGTGTGATATAGTCTATATATTTGTGTGATATAGTCTTTATATTTGTGTGATAAAGTTTATATATTTGTGTGATATAGTCTATTTGTGTGATATAGTCTGTATATTTGTGTGATATAGTCTGTATATTTGTGTGATATAGTCTATATATTTGTGTGATATAGTCTATTTGTGTGATATAGTCTATATATTTGTGTGATATAGTCTATACATTTGTGTGATATAGTCTGTATATTTGTGTGATATAGTCTATTTGTGTGATATAGTCTATACATTTGTGTGATATAGTCTGTATATTTGTGTGATATAGTCTATTTGTGTGATATAGTCTATACATTTGTGTGATATAGTCTATTTGTGTGATATTGTCTATATATTTGTGTGATATAGTCTATATATTTGTGTGATATAGTCTATTTGTGTGATATTGTCTATATATTTGTGTGATATAGTCTATATATTTGTGTGATATAGTCTATTTGTGTGATATAGTCTAAATATTTGTGTGATATAGTCTATTTGTGTGAAATAGTCTATATATTTGTGTGATATAGTCTATTTGTGTGATATAGTCTATACATTTGTGTGATATAGTCTCTTTGTGTGATATAGTCTGTATATTTGTGTGATATAGTCTATTTATTTGTGTGATATAGTCTTTATATTTGTGTGATATAGTCTATATATTTGTGTGATATAGTCTGTATATTTGTGTGATATAGTCTCTTTGTGTGATACAGTCTATATATTTGTGTGATATAGTCTTTATATTTGTGTGATATAGTCTATATATTTGTGTGATATAGTCTATATATTTGTGTGATATATTCTATATATTTGTGTGATATAGTCTATATATTTGTGTGATATAGTCTGTATATTTGTGTGATATAGTCTATATATTTGTGTGATATAGTCTATTTGTATGATATGGTCTATTTGTGTGATATAGTCTATTTGTGTGATATAGTCTATATATTTGTGTGAAATAATCTATATTTTTGTGTGATATGAAGCTGAACGCATTTGATGCTCGTTAGTTTGCCTGTTTGTTCCGTTGTTGTATACCTTGTTCTCATTTGAGAATGTGCCAGTACTTACTTGGATTGACCTAGATTTACATGGTAGGTGTCCTTGATTAAGAAAACGCTTACTTTTCCGGAACACCTGTTCATATTTTTCTCTTGTACTTGTTCAGGAGTGCCCGTTTTAATCTTTCCTTTGTTCATATATTACCCATGTTTTATTGACGTTGACTTTGGATTATGCTTATATTGGCATGTTGATGTTCTTGTTTTATGTACAATTCGATCACCTTCTTTATGAAAACAGACGAACTGGAGTTTTACAGCAAAAATGAATACCATCAATATATCGTGAAAGTATCTCATTACTTAATGTAATGTGTTACGCTGGGAAAATTATAGAAACTTTACACTTTACTCAACTTTAATCAACTTTACCTATGTAAAATTATTGTTAACAAAATATTAATGTCCAATGCCAACATAATCAGAACAGTCCAGAAAATGAAATGGACATATCAAACTGATAACATTTAATGTTGTTAGAGAAAGGTGTTCCAAGACAAACTTGTCTTTGTCTGTCTTCAGTTTCGTCATTGATATGTCACATGACCGTCATTGCACGATAACTAGTCTCAATCCATGATATTAGGCATGTGTTGTCTTTCATACAACACCGGACGAGTTTTGAAATAATATAACACGCCTAAGATATCTACTGATAACAATAGATATACACAACTTACTAGACTACCTTAAAGCTGTCGATTTGTTCCAAAAAGACATAATTTCCCAGTGTCACTTTTCATTTTAGGTATAACTGTAACTGAGCTGACGTATGTTTCTTATCCCGTTTTATACTTATATGTATGGTACTGTTTTCTTTCATTTCTTTGTTTACTTTCGTTGTCCAACATTTACCAGTCCAGTGTTAAAATATATTATGAATACATGTAATTGTACTAGTACTTTCAAGAAAACCGTTTTCAATTTTATTGTTTCTTCACAAAATGAAAA